CACTCGGGAGAACTCTGCCAACCAATCACAACACCTAGATTTTAGAAGTACAGGGGCCTCATGTACGAAGACTTGCGTGGAAATCTTACTAAAACATTGCGTACGCACAAAGCTGTAAATGTGCGTACACAGAAAAAATTTCAGATGTATGAAACACTGCGTACGCGAATCTCACGCATATTCTTTTGTACATCTGAATGAACGTGAAACTGAGCGCAACATGCACGAGCACAAAACCCCTCCCTGCCTCCTCCCCCGTATGAATATGCTAATGACTATGCTAATGGCAAAACCCAACGAAACAGCAATGGCAAAAGCAAGCAAAAAGAGAAACTTTGAACAGAATGTGAATTGGAGGTGCTTTCAGAGGTAGACCGGAGAAAAGCGGTGTTATTTGCAAGTTTGTTCTCCGGAATTAACAATAAAAGAAATAAATAGAGCGGGAGAGTTTAGCTGATGCGGTTAACACAGTTGGGTCTGAACATCGCACTGAGTGCATTGAAAAAAGAAATATTGTGGTTTATATCTGTAAAATGTTGCAGGTTGGTTAACAGTCTCAGTGGCGCTACTCGTAAGACCCATGTGAACAGGAATTGATACGTTCGAGCATGAACTCGGCTCGAATCCAGCGTCTGATGAACTCTTTCTTCTTTTTTCCCCCGCTACATATCAGATTTTGTCAACTATTTATCACGAGAAAGACAAGTAGGAATCATTAATAAGTTCATATCAATAAGCATCATATTTTATTTGCACATTTATTGAATGGAAATGTTTCTGATTCACGCATGCAAATTTATCTTCAGATAGGTATGTAAGATTTCCATACCATACAGTTGACCAGCTAAACATTAAAGCACAATTTGCAGCGGTCGCCTGTTTTCCCAATGTAATCTGAGCGATCTACTGCACGCACATTGCTATAAAGACACTATCTGAAGATGAATTTGCATGCGTGAATCAGAAACATTTCCATTCAATAAATGTGCAAATAAAATATGATGCACAAACTTATTAATGATTCCTACTAGTCTTTCTCGTGATAAATAGTAGGCAAAATCTGATATGTAGCGGGGAAAAAAGAAGAAAGAGTTCATCAGACGCTGGATTCGAGCCGAGTTCATGCTCGAACGTGTCAAAACATATTCACATGTGTCTTACGAGCGCGCCACTGAGACTGTTCAGAGTGCTGTAACATTTTACAGATATAATAATATTGAATGTAAATGTTACTGATTCACGCATGTAAATTCATCTTCAGATAGTGTCTTTATAGCAATGTGCGTGCGGTAGATCGCTCAGATTACATTGGGAAAACAGGCGACCGCTGCAAATTGTGCTTTAATGTTTAGCTGGTCAACTGTATGGTATGGAAACCTTATATACCTGCTGAACCCGTCTCATACAGCTGCCATTGCAAGGCTCAGACACTTTGTAGAGAGCAATTTAACACAACTGCCTCTAGGAATCGCCAATGGAAATAAAACAGACACGCACAAAAAATGTGCGTACGCCTGCCAGAAGCTGCCGTGAAGTTGCGCACATTCCCACGTTCAGTTCATTGTTAGTAAATCCAAACGTGAGCGATTCTGAGCGTAAAACCTGGCGTACGCAAAGTTTTTGTGCGTACGCAGCGTTGATACATGAGGCCCCAGGACAGCAAATAGAAACAGAAAGGGGAGGAGGGAACAACAGAGCAACACCCCCAGGCATGTAACAATTAGCATCACCCCCCTAAAAAAAAAATTAATTAACCCCAGGATTTTTATTTTCTTTAACCTCTATTTATTGTTTTTCCCCTTTTCAAAATATATACTATGCATAAAAACACTATAAATTTATGTTGCACAATATAAATAAAACAGATTTTAATACGAATTCCAGCAAACAAACACCCTTAATATGTTTATTCCTTTGTTTAAATGTCCATGGTAATGTTTATATTTTTCGTTTCATTTAGGGAAACTCCTGGGGCAAATAACTTATATTTCTGAACTTTAATAATAAATCGAAATAAAATGCTGCACTTCCCACCTCCAGTCGCAATGACTTCTGGGACTTCTAGAGCGAGATCGGTGCTCAAGTCTGCATCGTTGTGTCCCCAATATCAAGAACACGTCCGGGAAGTTTCACGCGTCCTCTGTTCTTGCGGTCTTGAGTATTGGAACTGAACTTTGGCAGCTGATAATGAAGTTACACGAGAACATGAGGACACAAGATCACTGAATAATGCATATTGAGAAACAGCCACTAAGCAAGGGCTTATTATGCCGTCTTGGTGCCATCTATTGGATAGACAACATCAACCGTCTTTGGCCGCCGATGAGCGGTCTCTTAGAAACTGTAAATATTTTAAAATAGGCACTATTCTTACAAATAAACTGCATAGTTGCAATCTAAACAACTACATTCTCGACTAAAATGGCTCGTTTCCTCTGACTGGTACAGTACGGTACAGTTTGGGTCGGTACGGGTCATCTTTATCAGGCTTGCGTTTCCACCACAAAGGGAGGGCGTGGTGTACAACATAAAATTTAAGTCGACGTCATGCTCGCTCGAATAAATGTCTACAGTGAAGCTGTACGGGTTGTTTACATATCATATGAGAAGCACACAAAACATATGCTTTATACACATAAATACTTGTTTATAAATGTTTATTACTAACTTTTCTTTGAACATGATTTGATTATAACTGCAGATCAATGACAGTTCAAAATAGGCTACTGTAACATCTGTAATTATATAAAATAAATATAAATGCAACATATATGAACACATACAGTCCCTTACAGTCTCTGATATATTATTAATTACAGTAAAACTACACACATCATACATTTAGTACTTATTTCAGTTCAAAAACACATGCAATATAGCCCACAGTCAGAGCAAACCGCTCATCTGTGTCTGTAATCTTCACCAGCACATGTAAACTCTGTTAGAGAGTAATTTTGTCATTACCAGTTCATAATAGTCCAAAAGGTGAAGATAAACGTGGCAGTTTGTTCATGATTCAGGTTGCTAAAACACTTTTGCTCCTGTGTTTTGCTGGGCTTTGCTTTTTTTCCTGCGCTTTACTCTCGCGCTTGTCCTTTTCTTTTTTTCTGAATGAATCAGATGACGGAGACACTTCAGTAATCACACACATATTATTATCATCAGCTCAAGAAGTTTGTTATATCAAATATAGACGCGATCGCATGCTCCCAGAAAAAAAAGCGAATACCACTCGTACTTTTAGACGGGCTCGTAAAGCGACAACAGGATACGGCAGATTTTGTTCTTCTTAGCTTTGTGTCTGTTCATCAAGACGACGACAAGGTTTGTTTGAGCTCGGGTCATCCATTGCTCGTTATTAAATGCATGTAGTATATCCATGTAATCTCTCGGCTGTGGATTAGAACATGGCGGTTCCTTTGTTTACATTCTGTCTAGCTCCATAAGCTCGTGACGTATCTCTTTAACCAATCAGCGTTCAACTGCGCGTGTAGCTCCATCTTTTGGGACCCTTTCTCGTTTTTGATACCCTTTCGAAAGGGTGCCGAAAAAGTGGTACGGTTTGGTTCGGTATGCTTATTGACAGTGGAAATGGCCATAAAAGTGTACCAAACCGAACCGTACAGTACTGTAGCACGCAGTGGAAACAGGCCAAAAAAGCCTCAAAAGTACATTTTGTTGTCTAACAACAGTAAAATGTGACAAACTGTCGTGTCTCTGCTTGTTGCTGGCCGTATGTGGGTGGAGTAATACACAGTGAAGGGTGAAGGCTATCAGCCAAACAGATTCAAGAAATCAGACAGAACTGTTGTATAAGTGTGTGTGTGTGTGTGTGTATGTGTGTGTGTGTGTGTGTGTGAGTGTGTGTGTGTGTGTGTGTGTGCAGTATATATATATATATATATATATATATATATATATATATATATATATATATATATATATATATATATATATATATATATATATATAAATACACACACACACATAGACAGGGATTGCACAATGAAACGTGTCAGTTTAGTGTTGAAGGTTTCATTGCTTTTTAACTTTGTCCTGCCTGGTTGCCTGAAGATTGCATATTCCAACAGTAAGAGCAGAGTGTAAAATCTTACTTAGCAAAGTAATAGCACAGTTTTGCTAAAATATTGAAATGCAAACAGCATTATGGGTGACATATCAAAGGACAAATTGTTGGTACGCATCTCACTAGCTCATCTGTGACCAAGACAGCAAGTCTTTGTGATGTATCAAGAGCCACGGCACCCAGCATAATGTCAGCATACCAGCAAGATGGACAAAACACATGCAACAGGAGTAAATGTGGACTTAAGAGGAAGCTGTTTGAAAGGGATGTCCCTGGTGATAACCGGGATTGTATTCAAAATACACAAAACCACAGCTGCATAACTCACTGCATATTTAAATATGCACCTCAACTCTCTTGTTTCCACCAAAACTGTTCGTTGGGAGCTCCAGAAGGTCAATATACATAGCCAGGCTACCATAGCCAAATTTCTGGTCACGCATGCCAATTCGAAACGTTGGTTTCACTGGTGCCAGCAGAGCTTTCAATGGTTTGATGAACATGAAAGTGAAGTTGAAAATCTCCTATTGCCTGTAGAGTCAGTAGATCTACATATTATTGAGCCAGTTTGGGGTGTTTTGGAAGAGTGTGTCAGGACATGATTTCAGAGCCTGGCCACTGTTCTGCTTGAAGAATGACTCAAAATCCCTCTGACTACTGTGAAGGAATTGTGTCTTTCATTCCTAAGACAAATTGATGCTGTATTGGCCTGGAAAGGAGACTATACACCATTCTGATGAAACCAGGCATTTCAGTTTCATTGTCCAACCCCCATGTTGATTTATTTATTTTACTTCATGGAAACGCTGATATGTGCCATTTTGGTTTTAGTTATTTTTGTCAAATGTAAATTGCATTTACACACAGCAATATAATGACAAAATATTGACAGAATTTTTTTTTCCTTTGGTAGTCCGTAATGTGTGCTCAAGAGATTGCAAATCTTGAAGACACAGTTGCAGCAATGCAGGCTGACTTTGAAAAGACCCTGAATACCAACATTACTTCTCAGAAAGACCTGCAGGACAGCCTGGTGTCTACTAAACATGACTTGCTTCGTGTCCAGGAGCAGCTATCCCTTGCTGAGAAGGTACCAAAGCATATGAACACCACAAATTGAGATTTATGACACTAGAGCTTATCACTTACCTGAATTCTAAGCTAACTTCATACTATTATTGGAATCCATTAATTATGATTAGAATTGATATTAATATAATCACATCTTAAAATGTATACAAAATAACTATGAAAAGCTAATTGATATCAATTTTGTATATTAGGGGTGTAGTGGTGCACAAAGATCCCAGTTCTGTACATACCTTGGTTTTGGGGTCTTGGTTCGATATGTGAATGGTAAAATAGGATTAAGCAACAAATCAGCTGCAGAACTAAAGAGCTTCTTGTTATGCAAAAGTACAAATTAAACACTTTTTTAAAATTATAATTTAAAGAAAATTATTCTGTTATTCAAGGTGGCAATTATTAAATAAAAGAAAAATTTAAAATTGTTAAATACTTATTTATTAAATATTTATTATTTATCGTATATAGTATGAAATGAAACTATTACTCCAGTCATTATAGCTTTTATTATGATTACCATTAATAATAATAGTAATATTTAGTCAATATTAAAGTATAATAGTTAACATTAGAATGGTTCCTGAAGGATCATGTCACTAAAGATTGGAGTAAAGAAGCTGAAAATTCAACATTAAAATCACTAGAATAAATTAAATTAAATGATAAACTACTTTTGAACAGTTATTTTATAGTACATTAATATTTGACAATTTTACAATTTATACTGTATTTTTGATTTAATAAATGCAGCCTTGGTCAGCAGGAAAAGCTTATTTTAAAATATTTAAAAATCCTACTGACCCCAAACTTTTGACTGGTAGTGTGTGGGGTGGCAATAAACATTAAGAAGACCATCCTATACGGGAGTCCTGCCTATACGCAACCCATACCTCCGAACCATGAGTGGTCGCCCCTTGCTCTTAAATGTGAATTTGTTCAGTGCTTTCATGAAAGCACTTTAAAATAAATATGTAAAACGGCAGGATTCCCTTCCTTTCTATTATAGGCACCATTGCCCCTCTTGTGCAATCCTGAAAACAGTCAGTTCATGTAGTGGTGCGTGACTGTCGCACACGCTCCATAGTGATAACTAGATGCTGTTTCAAAACGGATTCTGTGTGCACGATTTAAAGTGGAGCAAAAAGGGACACCCCTGGTTTGAACAGATATATACACAAAATAATAATATTAATAGTAATATATACGCAAGTCAGTCTTGGTGAGTTTTCTTTTAAACAGCATATTTTGTCTTAAATGAGCATAAACACTTAGGAAAGCAATTGACTTATAGATCTGTGCATTTTTAAGTGAAATCTCTTGTATTTAATGTGATCTAATGAGAAATGTAAACGATAGATTAATTTACTGCTCTTTAATCAAAATGTTTAAATTATATGGTAAGGAAAATGGTTATCCCTTATTTTCACATCGCGAGGTTGAAAGGTGTGTGTGTGTGTGTTTGTGTGTGTGTCTGTCTGTCTGTCTGTCTGTGCGTGTGCATATGTGTGTCTGAATATAGATACAGTTGAACTCAGAATTATTAGCCCCCCTTTGAATTTTTTTCTTTTTTTTTCTTTAGAAAAAAAGTTTTTTAAATTATGTTTAACAGAGCAGGGAAATTTTCAAAATATGTCTCATAATATTTTTTGTTCTGGAGAAAGTCTTATTGTTTTATTTTAGCTAGAATTAAAGAGTTTTTTTATTTTTTAAAACCATTTTAAGGTCAAAATTATAACCCCTTTGGGCTAATTTGTTTATTGATAGCCTACAGAAAAAAAAACATCATCAACAAACCACCACAATAACTTGCCAAATTACCCTATCCTGCCTAGTTAACCTAATTAACCTAGTTAAGCATTTAAATGTCAATTTGAGCTGTATAGAAGTATCTTGAAATATATCTAGTAAAATATTCTTTATTGTCATCATGGCAAAGATTAAATAAATCAAATATTAGAAATTACTTATTAAAACTATGTGTTGAAAAAAAATCTTCTCTCTGTTTAACAGAAATTTGGGGAGAAAAAAATAAATAAGGGCTAATAATTCAGGGGGGCTAATAATTCTGACTTCAAGTGTGTGTGTGTGTGTGTGTGTGTGTGTGTGTGTGTGTGTGTGTGTGTGTGTGTGTGTGTGTGTGTGTGTGTGTGTGTGTGTGTGTGTGTGTGTCTGTGTCTGTGTCTGTGTGTGTCTGTGTGTGTCTGTGTCTAGCATAATATCTTTGAAACACAGCTCCTCCACTGCCATCCAAAGTTGCGCTTACTGAATTGCAAACACGTGCATAGAAGACAACCCTCTCACGTTCTGTGCTTACCTTATGCCTTATGAAACTGAAAATAGTCACATCAATTTATCGGCAGATGATTTTAGTGGCTGTACAACATTTCTGTGCATATAACCCATATGTAACAAAAAAATCTACATCAGCTTTGTGTGATTAAAAAAAGCTTTTAAAACATAACATTACCTGTCTAAAAGAAATACTTCAGCCATGATGTCATCCTTCCTCCGGTGTGCAAAAGTTACTCAGATATTGATTAAAGATTTTTAAACAGTTTTGATCCATCATGTTACCACTCTCTCATTCTCTCTCATGTTTGTACATTGACATGAACGCAGAGCATGTGTATGCACAAACGGCAGATCTGTTAATGGGTGCTCGGTTGTACAGATCTGCATTTGCTGACAGACAGTTTGGGCTACTTTATCAGAACAGTAAGAAATGTTGGCCTGACAATATTTACCTAGATTATTATTTTTTTTTTAGTCTTATGCTTTACCCAGAAAATAAAAATACATATAAATAATGAAGATTAACTTTAATCAGTACTATTGGTATGTGAAGAGACTTTCAACCAGAATAACAAAAATGTTTCTGAAGACAATCACCAACTGCACCTTTAACTGCAGACTGTCAGCTTTAATTTGAGGGTTGGTTTATCGATATCAGGAAAATGATGTAAGAATTAGGAATTATAACAATTTGCATATGTGCCTCCCACTTGATAAGGGACTTAAAGTAATGGGACAATTGGTTTCTCAGCCGTTCCATGGCCAGGTGTGTTATTCCCTCAATATTACAATTATAATGAGCAGATAAAAGGTCCAGAGTTCATTTCAAGTGTGTTATTCGCAATATATTAGGGCTGTCAAATGATTAAAAAATTAACTAATTAATCACACTTTTTTTGTAATTAATCATGATTAATCACGAAAAGCCATATTTATATAAGAAATAAAAACACATGCATGTAAGTGTCATTTGAATTACAAAACAATCAATGCCAATATCAAACAAAAATGTTTTCCATGTTGGATTCTAAGTGGACGACAAAAAAAATCCAAAATACAGGCACTGCAAGTATTGAAAATGGAAAATAATAATAATTAAGCATTTAATACAAACAATTGTATTCATTGTAAAGTTGTATTGAGTTGAGAACATTAATTATAAAGTAGCAACAGTTTTGCTTAGTTCTTTAAACATTTGAACAGTTTGACAAATATTACTGTTGTTAGACAACAAAATGTACTTTTGAGGCTTTTTTGGCCCGTTTCCACTGAGTGGTACGGTTCGGTTTGGTACGCTTTTATGTCCATTTCCACTGTCAATAAGCGTACCGAACCAAATCGTACCGTACCACTTTTTCGGCACCCTTTCAAAAGGGTACCAAAAACGAGAAAGGGTACCAAAAGGTGGAGCTACACGAGCAGCTGAACGCTGATTGGTTAAAGAGATACATCACAAGCTCGTGGAGCTAGACAGAATGTTAACATTTTAACATTTAGCCAGTTGCTAAGATAGTCAAGTCTATTGACATTATCGGGGGACAATGTGGCCAAGGTGTGCATCAAAGACAAAAGGCTTTAGACTTCTTACAGGGACTTTGGTCACACCATCTCTAAACATTTAATTCTAAACAGCTTTGAGGGATAAGAACACCGTAAAGACTATTGACCTTATTCTAAAATGCGGAAGTGTGCCTGTTTTCGTGATTGCCTTAGAACTTCCTATTCAGTCGCCTATGGGAGAAATAACTAGAAATAATAAACGGCAGAAAACGGTCAAACTACTTGCTCTACAAACAAATGTTTGCATGACTATACAGACCAAGTAGAATAATATAATAAGGAAATATGAGTTTGCAACATCAAACAGCGAAACAAGCAGTTTTTAATGTCTTTTAATTGTTATTTTAGCAGTGTAATAGTATTTTTACTTGAGTACAAAAAACATTTCACAAACACATTTAGTGCAGGTTTATTATATTATTAATATATGATTAATAATAATTATTATTATTAATTATAATAATTATTATTAATATTATTATTTTGTATCAATTCCTGTGTAATGTTTTTTATGGGTTGCTGAGAATACATTTCAGGTGTTCAAAACATAGTGTGTCAGTCTTGAAAATAAAATTAGGTGCTGGAAAAGTGCTTAAAAGTCCTTGATTTTCATTAGGCTGTGCCTGTATGCACCCTGTCATATGTACATCTAACATATGTTTCAAAATTTGTCAAAAAGTGTATGAATATGACATATAACCTATATTTATGAGGTCCAAGCAACATTTCCAGATTTTGATGAATAGGCTACTATGTTAATACTTTAGATTTAAGTACGGCAGTTTTCTTTTTAATTTTGAAGAACAGTTCAATTTTTTATGAACTTTTACAAGCACATTTTAATTTAAACATTTTTTTTTTTTATCTGCAAGCACAGTTAATATTCAAACTTTTTATAATGTTTAAAGTGGCTGACAATAATACATATTCTTAATAATAGGAATTAATCTGCCTTGTTTTTAAACTGTGCACACCTGTAGCTGCTTAATTAGGCCTACAGCGCTATATTTTATAACTGGTCATTATGGTGGTACTTGGAGAGACAATTTTTTTCTGAGGTGGTACTTGGTGAAAAAAGTTTGATTATGTAGGATTATGCAGGTCTTTGTCTTCTCAGGTGTGACTCACTGCATAGTAATGATAGTTTACGCC